GGCACAATTGCATTGGATTATAAAGCTTAAAATAAATTCCAAATGAATTAAAGTAAATTTAAGATTTGATAAAAAATCTAATATAATTAACCAAGGTAATCAGTGGATATTAAATTAGCCCCAAGGAGGGTGAAATAAATCTCATAGGCCTTCTACTAACAAAGGTGATTACTGTTTAATTTAAATAAATATTCATTAAAATTAATAATAAAAAGAATTTCAAAGCCTTCGTATGTTATGTTTGATTTCTGTTGGAGAGTATATATATATTGGATTCATAAGGCTTGTATCTTAAGACACTAAATAAATTATGAATAAATTTAAAAGATATTAACAACTTTTTTACATATCAAAATTTAATTTTAAATAAACACCTCACTTGGCTCACAACTAACAAATAATTCCAAATATAAATAACTTAAACAATAAATCTCCTAGGATACATAAAAAATACACGAAATTTTTTACACACTAGAATTTGTTTGCTAGGGCCACTGACTCTAGTTTTAGGCTAGGTTGTAGTGTGTTTTTGTGTGATGCAGGTATCTTTACCTAAAGTGTATCCTTGGTATATTTGTTTATTTATTTTATGCACTCTCAATGTCATACCATATATACATTGCATATGCATCTTCATGTTATTTTATTTAATGCAAAAAATGAGTAAAGTATAATGTACCTAGGATGTTTATAAAAGAACACTCAGAGTAGAATATATTTAGAGGCAAATGTATGTGCAAAGAGTCAAATGTAAATGTAAGGTGTCAAGAGCTGTAACAATTTAAAGATATTTGTTTATATACACATATAGAATTTCAAAAGATAATTCTCTCTCTTTTAGAGGGTATTCCCTTTTAGAATTCTATAAGAAAATCTATAGGCAGAAAATTATAAGCAAATGAATTTAAATCAATATATCTTATAGGTGTGGAAATTAATTTTGTTGTGGTGGAGCTTGGCCACCTTACTTTCTTAAAGATCTTGGGTTATATTTGTTTCCCAGTAAATGAATAAAATATTTTATTTTATGTATTTACTTTAGGCATATATGATGGTAGATATATTCATTTGCATATTCTTTATTCCAAATTTAAATCTCTGAACAAAAATCTTTGACTCCGTAGGATAGAGCCCTCCCATCTTGCATACATAAGATGATTGATTATGCCTGGGATATTAGTTGGTAGCTCACTCCAGGAAATTATAAGCCTAGATCGTACTTCCCTCAATGGGTCTCTTCTAACTTATGATAAATTCTAAATATATCATTTCTCTTAAGATAATAAATTAATCTTTGATCTTTTAAACTCAAATTACTAATCTAATTTTATATATTTAAAAAGGTTTAATGATCACTAAAAATAAATACAAGAGCTTATTCTCTTTGGAATAGAACCAGAAACCTCCTTTGTACACCAAACCATGAAAAGAATAATAAAAAATTCTTAATTGAAAGTTTTTATAGGTTAAGGCCTTTGATATAATTAGCCACAGGGACTTGCGCCCGGGGGAAGCCGACACCCACATCAAATAAATCTCATTTTAGATGATGTATTAAATGGAGGAAATCTCATGATTATCGAGTTATATATATTACTACACGTTGATGTGTGTAAGTGAGAGCCACTATCCTCCATGGTTAATCATATGTATGATCTTGTCTGCTCTCCCATTGGCTAGCTCATGTAGAGTATAAAGGCCTAAAACCTTTTTGTCCCACGGGATAGTTGATCATACACATTGTTTAAAATTGTGCAATATAAGGCTGGCCTTAAGGCCTGCGTCAATGCAATTCTAGTGGAAAACACCTCGAGGCTTATGTCTCTAGCTCTTTTATGCTGCTTGCGCCTCAGCTTGGTTGAGGCTCGCCTTGAGACACGCCTCACCTCGCTAGCGTGAGTCTTACGCCTCACCCAATTTGTATATATTTTTGTTAAAACTAACATAAATCACGTCATCATGCATATTATAGTGCAACAACTTCATCTAGATTGCCTCTATCCCCAGCCCGCGACCTTCACTATAGCCAACACCATCATAACTGTCACCGATAATCACTTAAAAGTTGCACACCACCACATTAATCTCATATTTATGTCGATGAAAATATTTCTAAAAGATGAACACTATTGAAATAAATTAAAAAGAAGCATATTGGGAGCAATTTGACTCTACCGACAGAATGAGACAGGAGATAGACCAATTTTTTATGGCGACAACTCAGATAAAGACCACCTCAGTGATGATAGTGTAGATGATTCCTAAGTTGTTGCCAACTATTTTAGCTTTCATTAGAAATTAAATGTAAATGTGTAGAGAGTTGAGAAAGAAGAAATTTGAAGTTTAACTTCATGTTACATGATACTTTTATGTAATTTCTATATTTCATATTATTTTGCTCTTAAAATATTTGAATTTAGATTCTATTTCAGGATATTTATCACATGTCACTTTATTTCTTTTGCAATTTTTTGCTTCATATATATGTCAATTTGTTAATTCATAATTTAATAGGAAGTTAATATGTCATCATTTTATATATTATATAGGCATTATATAAAAAATAAGACGCAAAAAAAAAAAAAAAAAAAAAAAAAAAAGCTGATGCCAAGTAGCAGATGAAGTGGATGCAGCAAGCAATGCCGTGTTGAAGTTGTCGGAAGATGAAGGATTGGAGATCTTAATTGGGTAGAGTCCATGATGATGAGGTCCGTGGAGAAGAAGTTTGTTGGTCCGAGAATCCTTGATGGCAAAACCATTAGCATCAAGTAGAACAAAACATGAATTGTCATTGGTAAGTTTATGAATAGAAAGCAAATTATGAGATAAGTGAGGAACATGGAGAATGTTTGATAACTGAAGCTTACGGGATGGAGTAGGAAGCAAACCTTGCCCTGTGTGAGCTATGGACAGTTGCTGTCCATTACCGACTTGAACCTGTGAATTTCCATTGTATGGTTGTATGTTTTGTAACTGAGTCGGATTAGCTGTGAGATGTTCAGTTGCACCAGAGTCTAAAAACCAATCAGCATTTTGGTGTGAGTCTGTAGCCACATAGGCTTGCGGAGGAGTATTATATGAAGAATCATTTCGATACCAACAGTGAATGGCTGAGTGCCCCGGTTTGCCACAGATTTGACACTCAACTGCTGCTCGAGGTCGGCGACCACCACGGGTAGAATTAGAACGACCTGGAGCAGAACGACCTCCACGTCCGTCTGCACGTCCATCACCGCGACCATAATTTTGACGTCCTCGATAGAATGACGCTTGTCCACGAGAAGTGCCTCTAGTTGCAGTAAGAGCATAGTTGGAATCTGTGGCAGGGGTTAAAGATTGTTCACGACTATGATCTGATGTAATGTGCAGTTCCTCACTGCAAAGCAGCGCATAAAAATCATCGAGAGAGATGGGTTGAAGTTGATTGCGAATTACAGCTTTAAAAGACTGATATGTGCCTGGCAACCCATTGAGTGTGTACAGAATAATGTCTTCTGTATCAATAGAGGATCCTGCGGCTGCTATAGCATCAACCTTAGTCTTAATCTCTGTGAGATACTGAAACATGGTTTTATCTCCAAGTTGAAGTTGATGCAGTTCATTCTTTAGTTGAAGTAATCTGGAACGGTGCGTCGACTTCAGTCGAAGCTCAAGTGTAGTCCAGATTTCATGCGTAGACTCCAAGTTGAGAATATACGGCAGTAAGGAAGCAGATACAGTGGAGTAAATCGCAAAGGCTAAGTGCTGATCTATGAGCATCCAGATGGTAAACAGAGGATTAACACGGACAGATCCGTCTGTTCCAAGAATCTGCTTCGCCGGTTTTTCCGTAGCTCCAGTTAAGTATCCTTCGTAGTTGTTTGCTGCAAACAACTTCAGTAGTTGGGATTTCCATATCAAATGATTATCTGTGTTTAGTTGCACCGTCACCATGGTCTTGACATTGGCCATGAAAAATTTGAGTTGAGGTGGTATTGCAACATTGTCGGAGGCAGGTGGTGCATCGGAGTTGTTCGTCGGTGAGGAGGTTGACGACATTGTAACAGACGAAAGAACAACCTACAGCTCTGATACCATGAGAAATTTTAACACCTGCAAAGAGCAAACAGTAGAAAAACAAATCGGAGAAGAAGAAGAAGGAAGCAGAGTATTTGCTGTATTAATTCATTCTTGCATTTCTTAAGTTGCCGTGCTACAGTGTATATCAGAGAGTTGGTTACAAGCCAACGGTAGTGATTAAATGGCAGAGATCTCACGGTTAGGAGACAACCGTACACAAGAGTGGAGCAGCCAATACCAATAGGTGAGCCGGCTTATCAATAAGTTGAGAGGCATATCAAACTATCTTATCAAATGCTGACTTTAGATGAGATGGTACTTGACAACCTTCGACCGCACAACAAACTAAGGTAATTAAGGATAAACGCATACATGGGTGCCAGGTCTGCAATTTGGATGAACGAGGACCATCTTATCTCCAATCTAGAGCGCATACAATTGGATTGCTGCTTAGAGTCGCAACTCTTCCACCCTTTTGGTGGCTTCCCTTCCTTAAGTCTTTGTACCTTGAAAACATGCAAAAGTTAAACGGCTTTATAATAAATTTCAGAGGGATGAATTGGATTGAGTTTTTGATTCACTAGAGGTTTTACACATTGAGAGATTAGAAGCATTGGAGGATTGGTTTGACTCAACATTAGCTACAACAGATGATCGTCTGTTTCCTTGCTTAATTGAACTGTACCTGAAGGACTGCCCAAATTTCAAGAGTTGCCCTCTTTGCCTCCTAAGCTCAGGAAATTAGAGATGGATAACACTGGGTGGAAAACTTTCAACTTGCTACAAGGCACTAGCAAGTGTTACATCATTTCAAGCCTTGCAGCAATAAGAAACTTGACAATTCGAAATAGTGGTGATCTCATCTATCTCGAAGGACTGAAAGATTTGGGGACTACAGAGAATTCCCAGCTTATACTCTACGAACTCATTATTCAGGATCCATCAGTCACCTCCATTCAAAAGCTAATAATTAAGGGTAATGATGAGTTGGTTTCATTTCAAGTTGAGACACAGCAGTGGTTTCTCCAAGTTAGCTCATAACTTTGTTTTATTTGTTTGATATAAAATGTGAAGTTTCAGCCAGAGCTGTGGTTGGCAAAGGATTAATGACCAACATGCAATACTTAGGCAGGAAAGAGATGAAGGGAAATAATGGATACAGCCAGGTAACCACAAATTATCATTTAAATCTTTCATATATAGTACTTCAACTCATAAGCTAGCTTATTAGTTGTGCGATTCGAGTCATTATCTATCAATTGCTTTCAATCATTATACAAGAACTTGTTATTTAGTGAAATTCATGTTATATATACATACTTATTGTAATAAGTAATAACTACTTGTACCTACTTGTTTTCATTTAAATCATACTTCCCAGTCATTTGAGTAAGTGGGATTAGAGCAATTTGTCAGGTTTTCTTATTTGTTTAAATAATTATTATACAGTGATTATTTTTTTGTTAATGTTTATTTTCATTTGATAATTATGGTTTGTGATCTTGAATTAGATCGAGGTGCCTTCAATGCCGTTAAAAGTTAAAATATTGATGATTCCCCTCCTACGAAGTCGATTATGGAGCACAAAGAACAACTGAACAGAAACATGGAGGAAACAAGAAGATGGAAATTATGGAGTTACAGAATTTAATTAATGTCCTATGAAGAAAGGTCTTATATAAAAACAGTGAGTGGACATTCTGGGGGTTGAAACTCATGGAAGGTATATAATATTCATTTTTTTGTTTCCTTAGAGATATTTTGGAGAGTTCACCTGCATTTTCAGTTAACTCAAAATTTTCATTTTAAAGAGGGTGTTGTTATTACAGCTTCATTACAAGGACATTATTATTATGTGCGGACACTGGATTGTCCGTAGACGAATGAGAATGCGTCACGCTCTGAATGCCTTTGGGCGATGTATTTATTTGTAAACTTAGGCTTCATTTGGTATGATTTTTTTAGTGTTTTTTAAAGCGGTTTAGTTGTATAAAAATTAAGAAAGCTGTTTTAATAAACATGAAGAAATAATTGAATCACTGGCATACAACAACAACAACAACAAAATGTGAAGCAATCCTTCAGAGGCAAAACATCAAGCAGGTGAAATGAAATAGACGAAAACATCAGACAGGAAAAAGAGTAATGAGCTTGTCTTTTGCATGAACGTGGGAAATGGCAACTTCAGAGCTGAGCAGCCAAGCAATTATGTAATTTATTTAATTCATAAGGGTCTGCCAGATTACCAATAGATACTGAAGAAAAGCCCCTCTGGTTCAGGTTGAGGATGAAATTACCTAACAATGTATGGAGATCCACATTAGTAAAAATAGAATATTTTCTATTTAACTACAGTACTATAACAGTAAATTCTCCTTCCTATCATAGTATTTCATCTCTTCTCTCTAATCTAATTACTAGTAATATCTATTACATTTCGAAATTTTCAATTCAGATTCCAGTTCTTTCCCTATCATTTATAAATATGTCATACTCAAAAAACAAGATTTGACAATCAATGGAGTTAACATCACAAGAGAAGTAGATAACTGTAGAATAAATGTATTATCATAGGTTCTGATGCATGATCAATTTCAAAAAGAAGCATGGTCTCCTGATTTCCTGCAAAATATAGACATTATCATTAAACGGACAAAAAGGCGGATTGATGGTACTCTAAGGCTTCGTTTGGGACGACTTTCTTCATGCTTCGTAAAGTAGCTTTCTAGTAAAAAATTAAAAAATTTTGTACTAAAAATTGTTTTAAGAAGCAGAAAGAAAGCCGTCTCAAATCTACCCTATGTGAATATATTTCTTTAGGTTGCTAATAAATTAATGCATTAAAATAATAATAATGATAATAAAAGATATGCCACTCTTTGCAATTCAAAGTGGACAATCTATTTTTAATATGTAAAAGTGGCGGTATGGTATCTAATTTTAATTTATTTTAAATAAATTTGCATTTGTCAATTATAGATTATCATAAAATTATGCTATAATTATCTTTAAAAGTGATGGTATCTAATTTATTGTTTCAAGATTAAGGTTTCATTTGAATTTTTATACTAAAAATTTATTTTAACAACCAGTAAAAAAGCCGTGTCCGAATGAAATCAAGTTGTTTATGTTATGATATTTATTTATGAATTACTTTTCTTCTATTGCTAAGTCAATTAGGATGATTAAATTTACTTTTAAATTAATAATTCTATGATTTAAAATGCAAGCATATGCTTTAGGCTTTGTTCAGAATAATTTTCTTACTAATTTTCACTATAACTTTCTTATAAATAATTTTACTCTAACTACAATATCATATCAAATGGAGTCCACTCCCAAATGGCTTGCTTTCCCTAGACCCAAACGGCTTTCTTCGTTTTCTCATTTGCTCCTCTCTCATAACTCGCGACCTCAAGCATGGCTTTCGGTTTCCCTTTCGCTTTCGACCGAAACTATTTTAATGTATTATAACATTCAAAATGAGATGATAAACCACCGAAAATTTGACAATCGGAAAACCGCCGGAAAATTGACTGCCGGAAAATTGTGTTGGTAATAAATAATTTTTCTATAGTGTTTAATTTAGGCCCCCCTTAATAAAATTTCTGGCTCTGCCACTGTTAACACCAATAACTTATATAAATACTATAATTAAAGTGTTATTTTAGTAAGTATTTTACAAAGAGCTTATTTATTTTTTTATTTTAATAAGTATTTTAATGATAATAATCTAATTAGAATTTAAAATAATTAATCATTTAGTTTCTATTTTTACTAATTATTTCATTAAATTTTTATAAATTGTTTTAATTAAACTTTAATTACTAAATATACTTATAATTATCTAATAAATCAATTAAATATTCCATTACTAACTAATTATTTATCTAACATTTACACTATTAATCACCTAATTAAATATTTATATTTTAAATTAATATCTAATTAAAAAATAAGAATAAATCAAATCCTGCAAGCCGGCTCTTCCGTTCGTTCGCTGTCGTTCGCGTAAAGTTCCCGCTTCGGCTTCGAGCGAGTCAGTTGCCATTGCTTGTCTAGGGTTTGCTTTTCCTTTTCTGCATTTATTCATTGCTGTTCTGCTTCTCGTGAAGTAGAGTTCTGAAAGATTCCAAGCTTCTCCGCTTACTCCTCCGACGTTGTTCCTGAAGGTAACGAAATTTCTCCCCTTTCACGCGCTTCTTTGGTCGGGACTCTTTTTCCCTCGCGCCAAAAATGCGTTAAATCCGCCGAACAGAAGGAAGGATTTCGTTAAGTCCGGGATTTTCCACGAAAAGAGGGAATTTTCCGTCAGCGGCTTAGATTTACCGTGAGATCTAGTTTTGCATTTTTGGCCGTTTGGCTGGACTTAGCCCAAAACTGCCCCAAATCTAGCCTAAATCCTGAATCCAAACAGCCCCTAAGTCCTCGTCCGTGGCTAATTGGCAAACATGTATTCACCTTTGAGTCCTCTGTGGTCTTCGGAGATTATATTTTTTCTCTGGGAACGAGCTTCAATCTCCTTGTCATGCGCGATTGGACCTTCTCCCTTGTTCTTCTTTACTGCTGTCTGAGCAATGTTCTTTTTTTTTTTAGTGGAAGCTTGTCGTTCTCCCTCTGGATGGCATATTTCAGTGTGTAACCAGGCAGAGAGCGCTTCGGCTTACCACTGTGACGGCTTGCTCTAAGTCAGGATATGCAATTCTAAATCCAAATGCTTGAAATCAGGGAGAATGATGCGCTGGTTTTATTTCCAATTGAGGGTGGTGGCTTCTGCAAGTTAGTTTATCCCTTTGTGAGCTGAATTTGTTAAGGTACAAATCCAAGTAGTCTCTCACTTCTTCCTTCCCAAGCCTCTCTTTCCTTAGAAATCTTCGTGTGGAAAAATTTCCTCAGCTACAGCTTCTGGTGTTAAACATCTACTGGACTCTTTGGAACAATTAGAACTTGAAGAAGTGTCTTAATAAGTATTCTGCTCCAAAAACTGCCAGAACACCGTCCCTCTTCGTTTGGACTGTGACTAGCACTTTTTGAGAGCCTGGATTGCCTTCTTACCTTTCTATCCTTTCTTCTCTCCACTTGCGTAACATTTTTATGGTTCCTGACATCCACAAATTACTTTATGAGACCCACTATTACTCAAATGTTGGGCCTGGAATTATTTTTTAATGCTCACTATTACTCGAATGTAGGACTCAGGCTAATAGTTTTTTCCTATTATGAGAACCAGTTTTACTCAAACCTTGGAAGTCTAGCTTAGTTGAAAATAATCGAAGGATATTTTTTCTCTTCCCTATATGCTTTTTTGTATATTATATATGAAGGGAACTGAATGACAGGAAATATGGCCATCTCATCCCTTTTACTTCTTCTATTTTAAGCATGATGTGTTGTCATATGGCTGCAAGATCTGGGAGGTTGTGTGTTTCTTATCCTCTTATGTACAATTCTGGCAACACAACTTATATTGGCTATTAGTTTCAAATGGTGGTTTCTGATAAATGTTGATGGCTTCTTTTGTGTTTGTGAGTTTTTCCGTTATGTTTATCTCTGGTGGTTGGGTTTGGTTCATCCTCCATGTGGTTGATTCATGCTTCTTTTTCAATTCGATGGCTGCTTCTTTATTCATGGATTGATTTTTTGAGAGGGCTATGATGAGTCATATATTCCTAGGGGTTCTCCAGGACTGCCTTTCTTCTGCTATGCTTTTCTAAATATGCCAGAGACGATGAAACAACCATAAGCAGAGACAGTGAATCAGGATGGCCTTTCTGCTGCTATGCTTTCATTGTCTCTGCTTAGAAGGATGGTCTATCTTCTCAAATACTCCTTGTCGTTGATTCATACGGTTAACTGAAGCTTTATTGAATATTTTTCCGCTTTTGCTGGATAGCTTCTCTGTCTTCTAATGAATGGATGACATTAAAGTTTAAAGGTCGTCACATGCATAAAGCCTTAGCTGTCTGCCACTTAGTATTCTTGTTTTTTCACAAAGCTCCAAAAGCACGTCAAAATTTGCGGTCTGCAAGCATCATCAATGGACATTAACCACGATTAAATGGAGTTTGTACTCTACAAATTAATTGAAACATGATATTTCCTTTCTTGTTTATTTTGTTGTGTGATTTTCTTTCTAACAATAATAACACAAGGGCAACACCCATCTGCCAAACACAGATATCGAGCTCGATATTCCCACCGAACGCCAGCCATACAGTCAGATATTGTTCAAAATGGTCTGTTGTGCTAATCTCAACACTGGCTTTGAGTATCTGAAAGATCAAGTCTTGTGCTGCAGATTCTTTTGTGAGCTAGTCAAAACTCAAAAGTGATTTTTTTTCTTGTCCTCTCAGCGTAGAGAAATTATTCGGTGCGGGGTCCGGACGTAGCTCTACGTCCTAACCCTCGCTTCCCAACTTGTTGAATATATATCCTCTAATTTCGGTGGACGCGATGCTTGAAGTGTATGGTTCTAATTTTGGGGTTATGGCTGTTGGTGTTTTTTTTTTTTTTTGGACAGTTAGGCGAATTAAAGATGGAAGATGGAGGTGAGCTGCTTTTTTTTTTTTTTTTTTCATATGATGCTCTCTGAGCAATGAGCAATGATATTGTTATTATTATTATAACAAGATAAAGAAAAGAAGCAACATTAGTTGAAACTCTCTAAAATTTCTGCACAGCCTCCTCCAGTCTCTTCAAGTTGGGATCAATTTTGAGAGCACGTTTGCCAATTTTGACAGTCTTTTCTTCATGGATTTCATGATGGAACGCACCCTTCTCAGCTTCTTGGTTTTCAAGTAGCAAACACTCCACTTAATTGTGGTTAATGTCAATTAATGATGCTTGTGAACTGCAAATTTTTACGTGCTTTTGGAGTTTTGTGAAAAAGCAACAATATTAAGTGGCAGATAACTACGTATTTCTGCATTTGACGTCCTTTGGACTTTGATGTTAGCAATTCATTAGAAGATAGGAAATCTTGCCAGCAAAAGCAGAAAAAAATATTCAATAAAACTTTATTATTATTATTATTATTATTATTATTATTATTATTATTTTTATTTACTTGCTTGATGTTACGGTGAAGGCTTGAGCTTGTGCTTGCCAAATAAGCGCGTGACCGCGTCATATTTAGAAACCGTTTGGTAACTCAAATTATGGTCTGAACTTTTCAATAGTGTTTCGGGTGCTTGATTTGGACTCATTTGGGCTCGGATTGAATCGAATTTGGTGTCGTTGATTCGTATTCTGAGACGCTCAGTTTGATTGTAAGTTCACTGAAATCGTAGTTTAGTGATCCCAGATTTAATTTTTGAAGTTTCCGGCTTGATTTTACCTCGAGATTTGTGCCCTGGTCTAGATAATTTTTCGATGATAATATCAACTCAAATGTTGGATTCAAATAAGTTGACTTTGGGAAAGAACTAAAGGAAAATTTATTTTTATATTATTTTTTGGCATGAACGGAATTGCAGTTTCTACTTCGTCCAGAGCATGGTTCTCTTATCCTCCTAATCGGTACGATGTTCATCGGAAATGTTCTCTTTTTTAAATCGGTGGCTGCCTCATTGAGAAATTTGTTTTTGTTTGTTTGCTTTTTACATACAGAATTTCGTCCTGAAGGCTGTTTGGCGACAAGCAGGATTTAACTAGGGCTTCAATTGGAACGTCTTTTTAAACTTTTGAATACAAAAATTTCTGAATTAAGAGTTTATGTTTGAAACTCATGTAAATGTATGTGTGCAATTTGTCTTAATTAGTCTAAATGTAAAAAAAAAAAAACAGTACGAGGACAAGCATCTTGTTGAATGGAAGTAATAACGGTTTCTTCTACCATGTCCTGTAAATCTGTATAGTCCTGCAAGTTTGCCAAACTATAGGATTTAGTTAATCAAGAATTTATTGCAAAAGAAATGGGGGATTTAATTTGCTTTAAGATGTTCATTTTTTTGCGTTTAGTGGCATTTAGCTCAAAATCCTGCTACCAAACAGCCTCAAAATCCTGCATTATGGGTCTAACTGACTTCCTCTGGTGGCAGATTATTGGTCTCTTTCTATTTGCTTTGAGCTCCGTTTTTCTTTTTTTTTGTGTAACCTTTCATTTTCTTGATCTTTGTAAATGTGTTTTTTTTATAATAATTTTTTTAAAATATTAAGAATATAATAATAAAATAATTAAAAAAGTTATCGGAAAAATAAAATAGTAAATAGGCTAATTAAGTTAAACTCATACATATTACTTCATCGTGCATAACTTGGTAGATGCATACAAAACATCGTCTTTCTTCCTCTCTGTCTAGTTCTGCGGTCTCTTGGTGCCGTGGAAGCCGAATGGTTTGTTGGTCGAATCAACCATGGAGAAGCTCATCAAGATTGGCTTTCAGTATCTGAAAGATCAAGTCTTTTTTTGTAGCTTCTCTAATCAGCCTTTTCGTAATATTTTTGTGCTGCGCACAACTTTCCGTCAGTTTGTTGAATATATTGCTTCTGATTTCGATGGAGGTGATGGTCTAATTTAGGTGTTTTTTTTTTTGTTTGGTTCTGAGAACGATCTTCAAGCTGCTTCGTCATGATGGAGGTTTTTTGGGTGTTGGACCTGCTGCATGTTGTTGGTTTTTTTTTTTTTTAATTTCTTTGCATGTTCTTCTTTGCTGCAACGTCTGTTCAATGATTTTTTTTTTTTTTTTTTGCACTTTCCCTCTCTTGGTTTTTGGGTTTTTTTTTTTTTTTGGAAGCTGTCGCTCTATGGATTTAGGTGTTTTTTTTTTATTTGCGTGAAGTAGAGTTTAAGCTTTACTTCCCATTAGGTTTTGTCTTCATCTGCTCTCTCCTTTCTAAGGATACCAACGTTTATGGTCTGGGATTTAAGTCGGATTTACACTAAATCCAGCCAAACGGTTTTTGTGCGCTCGTTAAATCCCGGCGATGGGTAAATCCCGGAATTAAGGATTTACGGCTTAAATGCCGGATTTGCTAAATCCCTCGTTTCGGCTGATTTATGGTATTTGGCGGAAGAAGCGTGCGAAAGTTAGAAAGTTACCTTCACAGCCAGTGAGCTCCCGTTGTTGCTTTTGATCAAAATATCTTAACTTAAGATCCGAAGGAGCGAAGTCGAACAACCACGAAGGAGCTGAAGAAGCGACTCGTGCAATCTCTACACCTGCTAAGTAACGAACCCGAACAGGGACAATGAAAAGAGAAGATGAAAGGCAAACCCTAGACGCCTACTGATTGGACAAAGTTAAATCCTGCTACCAAACAGCCCTTTGTGCCCCTTTTTGGCGCAGTCCTTACCATCAGTGTGCAATCGACCACTTCCTTCAGCTGGCCTCGCCTCTTGGCAGATTGCTCATGGCATCTGCGACCGCTACATCTGTCTGCTTTGATATTTTATTTCCAACATTTCTCTTGGATCTATTAATGGCAGTACTTTGTACAGCAACAATTCTCTTCTACCTAGGTTGGGTCTTGGCAAGATGTGATGACAAACAAATTTGATCTTTAAATGTGGGTTTCTGTTTCTAACTTTGATGTGAAAAGAGTCATTGTGGGTATGTTGGAATCTCTTTAAATAAAGAGGCCTGATTTGGGAGAAATTATTCTGTGCCGCCTGCGGACTTAGCTTTTGATCAGATTCAAGGTGGATTTTCTGGATTTTTCTGAAGTTTTTGGGTGTCCGGACTATGATGAAGGTGGCCCTTCCCTTGCCATCTTACTGTTTGGAAGGCCTAATGGCCACCACTGTTCTGTTTTTCTAGATGGCTTCTCTCAGTGGTCCTCCGCTCAGCTGCTCCCATGGAGGTCCTCGTGCCATCGATTATCCTTTCGGCTGGCCTTTTGGCAACCTGGGATCTTTTGCTGGCTCTATCTCGTGCTGCTGCTTCGATAAATCCTGATGTTTTTGGGTTCTCTTCTCATCTTTGCCTTTTTTTGTTTGGCAATTTGAGTTTGAGTTTGTTTTGTATTACCTTTTGGGCTTTCTTCTTTTCTCTTTTTATATGCTTTTTTTTTGTTATAAGTTGTATTTCTTTTTTTTTCTCCATTTAATGCGTGGGCAATGCTCCATATTTCCCCAAAAAAATCCTAACGTAGCTTCTCCTGATTTGGAGTCATTTGATGCACTTCAAGGAAATCTTAAATCTAAGGTTATGTACATGAAGTTCTTACTTGTCCTGGATGACATTTGGGAGGAGGAGAAGCAAAATAAAAGCAAATGAGTGAATTATTTTGGTTATGCCTTTGATTGGCTCAGTTGCAATGTTGACTGCAAAGGTGATTGAAAAGGATGAAATGTTGAGATTAGAGGGCTTGGAGGAGGATGCCTTTTTACAACTCAAAGGCCATACATTTGCTAATACATAGAACCTAGATATTCTTCACAAATTAAGTTCCATTGGCAAATGTATGGATTTCTAAATTCTAGCTTAAGATGAAAAGCATTGGATAAAGGTTTTAATATTTTTTCTCTTTTTGGAAATATTTGTCTACTTAGCCCAACAATCCCCAACTTGTTGATTATATTACTCCAAATTTTTTTATAGTGGTGGCAATGCTCCAAATTTATACTTCTAATTTTGATGGTTATGTTTGTTACTGTGGTTTCATTGGATCTTTTATTTTTATTATGCAGAATGTTGACCATTAAAAGAGAAGTATAAAATTAAGTTTAAGTTTGCCAGAGATGAGGATGCTCAGGCGGATGAGTGGTTTAACTCTTAGAGACAACGTGAAACAAGCATATACGTGAAAAGGTTGGAGTAGCTTCATTGATAGATAAGAGTAGAGAGAGTCGCTTTAGATGGTTTTGTCAAATAAAATGGTGGCCTTCCGATGGCCCGGTTAGGAGAGTAGATGTATTAGATTTGACTTATATTAAGAAAGGTAGAGGTATGCTTAAAAAATTTTGGTTAAAAAATATTAGAAATGACATTTTTTTATTATATTTAAATGAGAATTTGAATCTTAATATGACAAAATGGAGAAAAAAAGATTCATGTAGTTGACCTCACATAGTGGGATAAAAGCGTGATGTTGTTTTTGGAAATGATTGTATCCCCTGTTCTTCTTTGCTGGTATATGGGCAATGATGTTATTTTGGAAGCTGTTTTGCTCTCCCTTTGGATGGCACACTCTTGGTATCCCTATTCTGCTTCTCCCTTACCCCTTACAAGCAGTGTGCAACCGGGTAGAGCATCTCCGCTTCATTTGGCTGGCCTCGGCTCTTACCACATTCCTGATAGCCATTGCAACAACCTAATCATTTCTGAGCCCATTTTGCCTTTATATTTTACCACCCTATGCTTTTTTCAAATTGATCCCAATTTGAAGAGTCTGGAGGAGACTGAAGAAACTTGATAAAGTTTCAGCTGAAGTTGTTAATTTCCTTATCTTTCAGAGATCACATACCAGAAGAAACAACCTGAGTTGCGCAAAAGATGTGAATGGAGTTTGTTATGATGTGGATGAAGAAGCCATCAATTGAACGTCATACTCATTTTATCGGCACTAATATGTACAGCAACATTTCTCTTCGATCTATGTTGGGCCTTGGTGGTATGCTTAAGACAACTCTTGTGTAAAGTGTTTATTAAGATGAAATGACAGAGGAATTTGATCTTAAAATGTAGATACGGGTTTCCAACAACTTGATGTGAAAAGAGTCATTGTAGTTATGTTGCAATATTTATACAATTTAAAAAGACTCATAACTAATTATTTAATTTCTAGTTGTACTATTAATTAGTTGTGTTATTTTAATGAAATTTTAATTTAATTATATCATTAATTATCTAATTAGTTATTTAAATATTTTATTACTAATTATTAATATCTCCATTTCTTTGTTACTGCTGTTGCTTTTTCTCCTGAATTGAAGGTCAAGATGGGAGCTCGCTCGCTATGAAGGTAATCATCTTTTTTCCCTTTTGCTTGGTTCTGCCCAAATCCTGGAAATTTGCTTATTTGTCTGGATTTACGACAAAAAGAGGAAAATTAAGGTTTTATTTCTTCCTGATTTAACATGTCCTTGAAATACGTTTGGCAGGATTTAGCAATAATCCTGCCTAAATCCTATTAGCAAAGCCTCTAAGTGATCGAAAAAGTGAAAGAAGCTCATAATTGCCATCTACTAGGATTTGCTACACCTTTTTATATTTTTTTTCATAAATTGGTATGGGTTGCCGTGGATGTTGCATGGTTCACCTTCTTGCTATTGATTGGACTTCTGTATCTATATGTAGGTTTCAACATAACGTGCTTTATTCACCAGTTGCTATAAAAGCCATGTAGTCCCTATGATTGCCTACCCCATATGTCCAACTTGATTAATAACTTTGTTTTTATATCATAATTGATATTTATCTGATTTATAAATGATTTGTAAATTTAGATAAATTATTATGTCTAGTGTTTATTCATTTTTTTGCTTTAAAATTGCCTATGCTAGTCCTAGCTATGATGAAGAAGTTATTTATGAAGGAACGGAATGGCAGGAATTACCAGACCTCCCTCCCTCGAAATCTCTGTCAATACTCTACTGCCATCCAGACTTGTAGGAGCGCTACCGAAAGTTTGTCAGTTCTGATTGGCACAAGGTAGCTCACATTCCTTATGTCAATCTTAATCTAATGCCGGTTTACAAGTGTGGGAATTGAACTTTACATTTGTTTTATTTGCTTTATATAAAATGTGAAGTTTCAGCCAGAGCTGTGGTTGGCAGAGGATTAATGGCCAACATGCAATACTTAGGCAGGAAAGAGATGAAGGGAAATAATGAATACAGGTAACCAAATATTGTCATTTAAATCTTTCATATATAGTAATTCAACTCATAAGCTAGCTTATTAGTTGTGTGATTCGGGTCATTATCTATCAGATGCTTTCAATCATTATTCAAGAACATGTTATTTAGTAAAATTCATGGTATACACATACTTATTGTAATAAGTAATAACTATCTGTACATACTTATTTTTATTTAAATCATGCTTCCCAGTCTGGGAATTTCCCATTATTGTGTAAAATTCAAAAGCTATAGCTTGAGAGTAATTGGGATTAGAACAATTTGTCAGGTTTTCTTATTTTTTAAATAATTAGTATACAGTGATTATTTTATTGTTAATGTTTATTTTCATTTGATAATTATGGTTTGTGATCTTGAATTAGATCGAGGTGCCTTCAATGCCGTTGAAGTTAAAATATTGATGATTCCCCTCCTACGGTGCCGATTATGGAGCACAAAGAACAGCTGAATAGAAACATGGGAGGACACATGGGTGCGTTCTGCAACCACAAATATCTTATAGGGATCTTTTGTTATTGTTGCTTTTCTCAATTTAGCATTCATCTAAGGTGAAAATATTTCATGAAGAGCAATTTTTTATAATGAAAGTTAGCTTGAGCTGGCTGTGTGGTGAATAAGAAGGAAACATATGATCTGGCATGTCCTTCTCTAAATGTTCATAATTGCTAGCAAGTAATCTTTACAATAAAAAGTGAAAACAGAAGATTAGGTGGATGTTTACTACACTAATCCAACATCACTTGAAAAGATTTGACTAAACTTTGTAACTATCGACACCTTGCCGAGCGAGAAGATGGAAATTATTGAGTTAAGAGTTTAACTAATGTCCTATGAAGAAACATAGACATGTGGAGTCCGGACAGGAGAACCATTCGGATCCCGTGAGCGTGCGTTGCAGCCAGATGTGAAACGAACCTATTGAGGCAAAACATCAAGCAGGTGGACAGGAAGAAGAGTGATGAGCTCATCTTTTTATGAATGTAGGAACCTTCTGTGCCATTACTTTTAATCCGTGCGTTATTGTTTCAGATCTGAAAATCTATGAAACTCCAATAAGATCTGGAAATAAAATCGCATTGATTTGAAGCCTATGTTGATGTGCTTGATATGATTTTTTTTCAATATTAAATTATTATTATTATTATTATTATTATTATTATTATTATTATTATTATTATTATTATTATTATTATTATTATTATTATTATTATTATTATTATTATTATTATTATTATTATTATAGATTTTTCTTCTATAGTCATAAATATTTGGGAACATTAGAATAAAATATGATAATTATGTAAGCATAGTTTTTACAGTTAAGCTTTTTACAGTATATTCGCCGCCAAATAAGATTGTGAATGAAAATTCAATATTTTATGTAAATTATACTTTTCTGATTTATGTATAAACTGTCAAAAAATTTTAGAAATTGATGGTCTAGAACCCCATGTGAGTTTTAGGAGGTGAATATTATGAGATTTAAGCTTTATTAGTGATAATTTTTTCTGTTTTTTAAATTAATTTTTAAAAAAAATTATAAGAAATTGATTTTTAATTTAGGAAGAAAATTATTCTAAACAAACTTTAGAAGAGTAGGGTGAAATTGAAACCCCAAAGGGATTTTCATTTCGTTCTCGCAAATGATATGATAGGAATTGATGAAATTTTAAACACAAATAATAGGTATGAAGAGTATTAATGGGTGACCAAAAATGTGATCTAAAATGCATTACGTGCAAAGTTATTTAAATCTAAGTGTTGTGAACTAGGTTTAGGGATTTCAACTTAGTTAATGGACGTTTGGATCGTATATGGGCTTGTTGTATTTGTAGACTGTCCAAACTCCTGTAGAAGAAATCGTGGCTCGAAATGCAATAGAATGAATGCAAGATGCTTTACAAAATTCAAGCTCTCAGTTGGCCAGAGATCTCGCCTCTGACGAGCCTTGACCGGTGGATTTGACTTGGAAGATGTGGAAGGAATTGTAGAGAGCTGTCAAACTAAATATTTTGGCTTGGGAGCACTTGGGGAGAAAGTTATGAGCAAAAAATCTTAAAGCAGCCCTAAAATCTTCCTATTTATAATCCCAAGCTTATGATAAGCGGCTAGGATCACATCTAGGGTTAAGCTGGAGTAAAACAAAGCCCCCTTAGCTGTGGTTTGCATTAGGGTTGATTAGGAAACCTTCCAAGGCATTAAAAGGGCTTAAATGGACTTAAATATATCAAATTGACCTAACTAGGGCTTGGTTTGACCAAGTCAATGTTTGACTTGGTCAACCTAGTCAATTAGGTCAAGGAAGATGGGGGTTTGAGCCAAAGAAGTGTTTGAATTGAATTTAGGCTCAATGGGTTGAATTGGGTCAGCCTAAGTTGAACTGGTCAACCATATTGACCCAGGGCATGAGTCTGAGCTCAAGAGGCTTGGTTTGACTCATGGAACCCAAAGAAGGTGGTCTTAGGACCTGACTTGGTCAATTTGACCAGGTCAGCCCTTTGACCCAAGTCTATGTAAAAACAGGGTCAACATTTACATCTTACGATGAAGTAAATATCCTGATTATATCATGTTATAAAACACTATGATGCCTAAAATTAATGAACTTAATATGTTCTAATAACCATAAAATGCATTTGAGAATTTATCAAATATATTTAATCAAAAGTTAAATCATTGAATATTTCAACTCAATGAAGATATGTTAGTAAGAATTAGATTACTACCAAAATCTCAAGATGAAGTGCAATGATGATACGACGATTCTCAATAAATTTATAGAAAGAGAATAGGTGTTATAGTTTCTTATATACTTAATAATGAATTCGTCCCAATTTTCTAATCAAATCTTAATGATGTCTACAAACTAAAAAAATGAAGGATAATGGTAATGTTTGACACCCCCAACTCTAAAATATCAACATAACAACCACCAAACTCACAATGGATTTGTTGCCCTTGTATCTTCCCATAAAGAAATCTTTCTAAAAAAAAATAATATATGATAAAGAAGATTTATAACTTTGAGTTTTTTGGCGTTTGTTAGGATTTAGCTTAAATCTTTTCTAAGTTTCGCACAAATCCTGCATCCAGACAGGCTGTTAAATTGGTTGATAATGATCAAAAGAAAGTATAAATTGAACTATGAAACCTCTGAAATGGGCCCTTGGATGCACGTAGGATGTAATTTAAGCAGGATTTTGTAAATTCTCTAAATTAGAATTAATTAAATTTTGAGATAGTTAAATCCTATAAACTTTTTGATAAAAAATATGTTAAAAGGACAAATCCTATAAGACTTTTTGATAATTCTATTCAAGATTTAAGATGGTTTAACTCATATAATATTTCTTTTTCAAATGTAATTTATTTAGTAATTCTAATTTTAATTAACACCAATAAATTATATGAATTCTATAATTAAGGTATTATTTTAATAAGTATTTTACAAATAACTTATTTAGCTATTATTTTAATAAGTATTTTAATGCTAATTATAATGATAATGATCTAATTAGAATTTAAAAGAATTAATCATTAATTACTATTTTTACTAATTATTTCATTATTTTTTAAAATTATTTTAATAAAACTTTATTTACTAAATATACTTATAATTATCTAATAAATCAATTAAATATTCCATTACTAACTAATTATTTATCTAACATTTACACTATTAATCACCTAATTAAATATTTGTATTTTAAATTATCTTAATTAAGCTAATTAAATTAACGACTAATTAAAAATTAAGAATAAATCTAATCCTGCGGGCCGGCTCTTCAGTTCGTTAGCTGTCGTTCGCGTAAAGTTCCTGCTTCGGCTTCGCTGGTTCGCGCGGCGTAGTCAGTTGACATTGCTTGTCTAGGGTTTGCTTTTCCTCTTTTGCATTTATTCATTGATGTTCTGCTTCTCGTGAAGTAGAGTTCTGAAAGAGTCCAAGCTTCCCCGCTTCCTCCTCCGACGTTGTTCCTGAAGGTAACAAAATTTCTCCGCTTTCACGCGCTTTTTCGGTCGGGATTCTTTTTCCCTCCCTCCAAAAATGCGGTAAATCCGCTGAACCGAAGGATTTTGTAAATCCGG